TTCTTACAAAATATTTATACTTTAAAAGATATGATGCAAAATGTCTCCAAAAATCACTCCTGATTCGTGTCCTAAATTTTGACCCCTACCGAGCTTCCATACTAGGTACTTCCGGAAACTATCCAAACTCCCAGTAACATGGGGACATGTCCTCTATCATCACTGAAAATTTCAGCGCTCTAGCTCAAGTCGTTTCTGAGATCAATGACGGACAAGAAGGTCCGCTGAATTTTAATAAAAGGGCGATAACTCTAGACCGGAAGTGATTTTCAAAAAATCCTTAAAATGGTATAAACTTCAGATGATCCTGCATCAACCCTGAAAATTTGAAGCAAATCCATCGAGCCATCTCTGAGAAATCTTCTGCACAAAATTTGTGCAGAGAAAAAGAATAATAATAAAATTGAAAAAGAAACATAAGAATAATAGAAGGGTCTTCCGCTGAAGACGGAAGACCCTAATAATAATAAGAAAAGTGAAAAAGAAACATAAGAATAATAGAAGGGTCTTCCGCTGAAGACGGAAGACCCTAATAATAAAAGTGAAAAAGAAACCTAAGAATAACAAGAAGGTCTTCCGCTGAAGACGGAAGACCTTAATAATAATAAAAGTGAAAAAGAAACCTAAGAATAACAAGAAGGTCTTCCGCTGAAGACGGAAGACCTTAACTAGAAACGATCTCGTTGCGAGCAACGGGTAGGTCTTCCGTCCGAATTTTCGAATAGACGAGATATTTTCACTATGATCTTTGTTAAGACATGATGATATCAAGACTTCCCTAATTTGATTTAATTTGTTTGATTTATATATCATCAAACAGCTATAGATGAAAGTCTGTTGGCCCCTCTAGGCCCTTCATTTGAAGGGTCAGTCCCCTTTTCTTCATATCAAATGATGAGGCTCTGGGTTTTAAAGCCTTTTTGTTCAAACAACTTTTCAGAATTTTTTCGAGTTGTACAGAATAGAAATATTTAGGGGTCAGCCCTTCAAGTCCTTAATGGGGCCTTTTTTCGAAAATTAAATGGTTGTTTATTTTTTAGAATACGATTCTATTCATCATTTATTCAATGTTGCTTATCAAAATATATCTCCCTTTGGAGATATAAAGAATCAAAGATTTATCATTTTGGCCCTTTATGGCCCCTAACTACCTAACAATGATCACAATTTTACAATATATTGTTGCAGATCGTAAAAATAAACATTTTTGCTTCAGTAATTTATAACAAAATATTGTTCATTAAAGAGTTATCAATAAAAGACTTTTGGCCCTTCTGAGACCCTATTTGAGGAATCAGCTCCTCCTTCTTGGTATAATATAAAAGCTCTTAAAATTCTGCACAACTTCTCTTCAATATGTTTTAACAAATTATGAACAGGTAGGACGATATGAAACAAAAGGTGTCAAATTTTGTGAGATGTTTCCGAGACATTTTTTGGCCCTACCCAGCTCCGGTACATTTTGCGCTATAAAAACTTGAACACCCATATGCAATTTAGCAAACCTTCCTTTACCTTCACTGATAATCTTGACTCAATATCTTTTGTCGTTTAGGAGGAGTTATCTGGACAAGCCGACCCTCTTAAAATCAGAAAATCGTCCATATCTCACGACCGGAAGTGACGTCGTACTTATAAAAAATTTCCAATAAGGTTCAGATCAATATCTATCAGATCTGAGAGTTTCGTGAAAATCGACCGAGCCGTTTCCGAGAACTCGCGTGCACAAAAATCGGTAAGAAAAAAAATAATAGGGAAAAAGAAACCGAACGAAAATAAATAAGGTCTTCCGTTGGAGACGGAAGACCTTAATAAGAAACAGAGTAAAAACAATATGTTCCCCAACTTCGTTTGGGGAACATAAAAAGGAAAACTGAGACATAAAAATTGAGATTTGCATTTAGAAAGATAATTTTAAAGAAAAAGTAAATAAAGACAAGATTTTTTTGCAGAAACTTCAGATTTTTTGAAATGAAAATTCGTTTTTAAAAAGAATCTTTATTTTAAAGAAGAGAACAATATTCAATGACAATTCATTGAAGAGAAAATATATGTATAGGACTGAACTTTAGCATTACCTTCTGAAAATTGGTTTTTCTAATTAAAGATTATATATCATCCCTAAAATGATTGAACTGACAGCTTGATGAAATTGTTTGAGGTAAGAATTATGAATTTAATAAATAAAAAAAAATCAATGTTCAAAATCGGATATCTTGATTAATAAAATCAAACACAGAGTTGATTTCTCTGCATGTGTTGGTAAAGAAAAAAAAGAAATTGTACTGACTGCAGAACAATTTAAAAGGAACTCAACTTAAAACGTTACCAAAGAAATCAAACGTGCGGCCGCAGAATATTGTGAAATATGGACATTAGTACTTTTCTAATTTATCTTGTTCAGTATGATCATGTTTTCTGACACCAAGAATGTTATTCTGATGCTCCTGAAACGTTATGCAATTTCAATATGTTAAAAGCCAGCATAAAGCATCTACTAATCTTAGGACCAGTCATATTTGCTCACAATCATTCTTGATTTTGCTTGAAGAATAATGAATTCCAAATAATATTTTTTGTGAATTTAAATAAGAAATAGTTACAATCTTTATAACAATTAAATCATGAAATGGAAAACTTTTCGATGAAATATATTCACCTTGCAGATTTATTGCCAATTATGTTTTCTTGTAAATTGTGTGGGGGTAACGACGTACACTTTTCAGTAAGTATTTAAAAATGATGCATATTAAAAACTGACAAAAAAGCAAGATTTACAAGCATTTCTATCTATCGAGCTTACAATGCAACACGATCTCTTCAAATCAAAACTGGATTTTAAACCTGTAGTGAGTTACGAGGGGCGTTCAATAAATAATGTCATTGGGGCTCGGAAAGAAACAAAAAACGCTTTTCTATGACTTAGTCTTAATGATTTAACTAAAATATTCTCTTTCAACTAAAACGCATATCCGTAACATTTTCATTCAATTTCTAATTGTTTTTCGAACACATTTTTGAGTATGACCCTCCGTATACTGGAAAATAGCAGATCCTATGATTTGCTGTACTTGTTTTTTTTTTCTTTCTGATAGATGCTTTTCTAAGTTTAGGAAATGAAACTAGTCAAAGGTTGAAAGATCTGGCAAATTTTGTTGGTGTGACAAAACATTTACTTTCTGTTTATCCCCAAAACTCCTTTACTCTTAATGGCCTGTGGGTTTGGCCGCCGTCATGAAGACATTTAATGTAGTGTATTCCTCATTCCGTTTCCTTCCTCTCATAAACCTTTCAATTTTTTTGCAAAAAAATTGTTTTCCAGACTCCTCCAGATATTTGAACTTCCTCCCCGAATATGAATTTGAAGAACAAGACCGCTAATATTTCAGAAAATTGCATATAAAACTGTTTTATGCTCCTGCAATTCTTTGCTCTTCTTAGGCCTTTGCAGTTTTGTCAAGTGCATCTTATTGTACATTTGTTTTGAGGGATTAAAGCAAAATGGATTCAAGTTTCATTATCTGTTAGAATTTCACACAAACGTGGATAAGTACAATTTTTGATTTTTTAAAAGAATTGTTTCGATATTCCAACACGCTGTCGTTTTCACTAATTTTTCAAAATATAGTGTGACCTTTGAGTATTAAACTTTTTTACTATAAAATGTTTATTTAAAACAGTATGAACTATCCCCAAAATGATTTTTATCAATTTTGCTATGTATCTTAAAGTCAATAAAATATAATAAGTGATAATTTGTTGAAATTTCGCAAATTTACATCCGTTGTTGTAAGTCATTGTTGCCAAGGTCGGTACCCATTTTTGATGCCCATTATATAATTTTTGTTTATTGAAATCTACATGTTCACCTGTCTATAAAACAGGCATTGGTTGCTGTAACTTTCACATATTTAAGTTAATATATTTTTGGAATATTAACAAGTTTTACAGCTGCTTTAATGAAGCGTTTAATTTTACTCTAGTTTACTGATTCTTGACCATTCACTTTTAATGCAGTGTCTCGAATAGCCCTTGTTTTCCAGCTTCCCACGATGAAATAATGCGATGAAAAGTGGTCACACAAACTCTTAATTAATTCATTAAAGATTCAATAATGAGAGAAAGTCAAGCTTTATGTCATATTACTACTATGTTGTATGCCATCGAGCTAATGACATTATTTATTGAACGTCCCTCGTATCATGAAAATAGGCCAAAACTAGTCTTTGGAAGAGAAGTCTTTAAAAGGAGGTTATGGAGATAACGAACTGTATTCAATATCAAAGTCCATAAAACAATACAAAATAGGTGCAGAGCAAACATGGACCTCCAAAACATCAGAGGTGGGATCAGGTGTCATGGAGGAACTGATCATTTTTATAGTTATTACAATAAAATTTTACAACTGAAATAATCTTATTGAATATGATTAAACTTTGCATGTACTTAATGCTACCATCACGGAAAATATTGACAAGTATACTTTTACTTATAGGATTTCTAAGGATTTTTGTTTCGTGGTGAAGCCAACTTAGCTGCATAATCACTGATAATGACTATCGGAATAGAAATGTCATTATGATGTAGTTAAGGATGCGAAAAGTGAGATTCAGTGTAAGTTTCCATTTCCTTAACATTTCGTGACAGCATCAGTAAAATGATACTAATCGAATGTCCTTCTTTTGTGATGACAGGCTTAATTACTATACATCACAGAATCAAAATCAATTATTTTGTAGTACAAATACGCAGCCCTAATATGACACAAGGTAGAAAAAGAGGATACAGGAGATGATGAGATTTTCTCATCAAAATAAAAGGAATTAAATTTTATAAAAATCGAATTACTCTATTAAGCAGATTAAGGTATCAAAGATCAATAATTTCTTCACCCTGTGTACTGTCTGAGATATAAAGAAGAAAAAACCTAATTTATTTCTCTCAGATAAAGATAGACTTCTTCTAATTCATCAAATAAATCCTCGTCCTACCTCAAGACAATGAACTACACAAACATCTCTCTTGCAGAAACTGGAATACTTGGTCGATTCCAGTTTGTAACAGAATCCCCTTTCCTTGGAATCTTTCTCCTCGTAGTTTTAATCCTGGCTACCTTTCTTGGTACTTGTGGGAATGTGCTAATTATAGTATCACTATGCACCACCATCAAGATGAAATCGTTGGACTATATTTTCATCGGAAACCTGGCTATTTCTGATTTATATGTTACGCTTATTGCAAACCCTATGAATATTGTTGGTAAGTAAAACGGCAAGGTAAGACGTAAACAGAATGAAAATTGTTTGATGAATTTGATTTACTACAGTATTCAATATAATGCAAACACGCAGAAGAAAATTGTGAAATTGTGTGCCAATACTAAATATTTAATAATAGAAAACGGGATTGTTTTAAGATGAGTAATTCTTTGAAATGACAGTTTTCATTTTAAAAAGCATTAAAAAATAAGGTAAGTACGAACGAGGGGTTATTAAAAAGGCCGTGGACTGAGGCTATAAAATTAGTACTATGTAGTCTGTGCTTTCAAAATTTATAAGGAAGATAAAATAACTTAAAAATAAAGATATTTTGAAAATTGTAGCTTGATGCGTTTATTATTTGCCAAATTTTTATAAAATAAAAACGACATTATATGATCACCCATTTCATAACGTCCGACAACGTCATTGTTTTTCAATGTCCGCTTCTTCTACCTCATACACTTATCTTGATGAAATTCCCTAGAGCTGAGTAAGGACTTAAACCCGTCTTGTTTATATGACTTTACAATGTCATGAAAAGCGGCCTTCAATACATACATGTATAATATTGCAAATTGATTTATACCTTGGGAGAGGTCCTCGCTTGTTTATTCCATTATATTTTGCTTTCTGGAGTTCAATATCAACAACACATATTCAACGTCATTTTTGACGTGATTAATTTTTCACACCTTGACTACAAATCGACATAAACTGTGCATCCCCTTTCTCTCTGAATTTAATTTGGCATTAAAAATCAAGTACTCTAGATGCATACTATTTCTCCGTAATCAGTTTAAACATTTCCTAGGTCTACGAGGGTTGTCCCAAAATTCCGTAGACAAGCGTTGTTTTGTAGGAACCCTACGTCATACATGAATGAAACTTCGTATATAGATTAAACAAACACTATCTAATAAATTTATGGACAAATATGGGGTAACTACACAAATTATTCCAATTTAAAAGACACCTTTCATTGTCTGGTGTAGGAAGGCGGCGCAATACCCAAAAGTTGCAATTAAAATTTGATATATTATATTTAAAATCCTACGGAAAAGTAATTACTACCCTATATTTTTTTTAATGGAAATAAAAATTCTTAATATTGTTTTATTAACTATATTTCCTCAAATTTTGGTGTGTATGCTTTGATAAATATGAATTTTATAACGTTTTGTATACATGGGGTTAAAATCCGAATTCTTGAAAAATGGCGGCTGCGTTGGCCCAGGCGGCGCACTGGACTATGATCAAGTGTTTTGATCCTGAATTCACTCTTACAGAAATGTAGCAGTCATAAATGTTTGGTAGACTAGGAAACTTTTTCTCCTCCTTAGTATTTAAAAAGACTAAAACGGTTTCTCTATGTATATGTCAATAACAGTAATTAAAATAAAAGACAGGGCTAAGAAATGGGCAAGAGTTCCATTTTGCAAATCCATTGGAGAAAATAAACGAAAAGCCCAAAGAAATATAGCGTTTTCAAATTATTATTATTTCATACCTGTTCATGCATATACTTTGTTTACATATTTTAATGTTTGATCATATCATAGTAATTAAGATATTTTACAATTATAACTATAACCGTTTCGTTTAATTTAAGAATTTGATTCTGGTAATTGAAATATTTTCTCAAAAAATTTGAAGCATTGACATTTGTATTTTTTGACGTTGCAGATTGCTCCGGGTGCTAGAGAACTATATCACTTTAAATTTTGTAACTGGAAAAGTTTTGAAGTTAACATGATAAAACTTCGTAATTTATCTGCAAAGAACACGCTTTGTCCACCCTGAAAATTTTATAAAGATACATTGATTTCTTTAAAAGATATGAGCTCAGTCTACGAAATTTTGGGACAACCCTCGTATATAATTTTTTTCAGAGGCAAAACTTTACAGAATGTTGAAAATGAAACCCGTCCACCTTTTTGGCGTCATTTTGTCAAGGCTTAATTTGTTTGGTCACTCCATGCTAAATTTTCTACAAATTTTCAAAAAACTTCCAGAATTAGGCACGAAAATATTCCATATTTTATGGAACAATAGTATCCTAACACATACCTTAATTAACGAGATTTTTGGATGCCAAATTTTCATATCTTAAGAGTTTTTCTCAGTTACACTTCGGTCGAGAAAACGTCGTGTTCGAGGTTGCGCCTAGATATATCATTGCTTACAAGAATATCACTAATTTATTAAAATGATTGAATTTATAATTCATGGTTAATTATATAGATAGAAAAGATGATGATAACTAGATCTTTTAAAATTCATGGATATACCTATGGCGGTCCACGCACTATTTGACCCCCTCGTACATGAGACGTTTTCATTCATGTTCTAGTAAATAAAATCTGTAGAACACTAACCCTTCTCCCGAATACATGATAATTGATAAAAATTTGCTTCCATAAACAAAAACTGTTTCAGGAACTGTCGAGGGAAAATTTGACTTTGTTATCACAATAAACTAAGACCGAAAATAAATCATGCTTTGATTTATTATACGGATCTTAACTTTGTTTCTCACTTGCAAAGCAATTTCTTTACCTTTGGGAAACGAGGATAAATGACAATGCGTCTCGTGTTGAATGTAATTTTAAATTCCATACTCATTTTAGTTCAAATCACAGTTCTCTTCCTATATAGTTGTAGGAGTATATGTTTTTTTACTGTTTATTAGGTAAATTAGAAGGGGAGAAGTTCTTCCTTGCCAATCCAGGACTGTGTCAAGTGATCGCCTATCTCTGCACCATTTCGTGCATCAATTCCCTAGGCTCAATAACTCTCATGAGCTTTAGTCGCTTTATTTTCATCTGCCATAACAAATACTACGATACTATATTCAGAAAAAGCACTTCTATCATCATGTGTGTCGGTCTTTACCTAACCGGTCTTCTGATGGTTCTTCTGAATTTGGCGGGAATTGGTGATCACTCTTATGATCGAAAGAGCCTTGAATGCATTTGGGACAGGATGGCTACCTACTACTACACAGTAGCACTCTCTATTGTTCTTGTATGGATCCCCGTAGTGCTAAATGCGTTATTCTACTTCAGTATCTATTATAAAGTTCACAAGAATGCCAACCAAATTATGGATCTGACGTCATCGAAGCTAGAGCGCAAGTCGGTCAGCCTAGCACGCACTTTGTTTCTGATTTATGCCATTTTTGCGACATGTTGGGTACCGTACGCAATCATTATTGTAGCTGACAAGGAAAATTCATTTCCCCATGAAGCACATTTGATTATTACGACGTTTGCTCACTTGCATCCATCCATTAATGGGCTGGTTTACTACAAGACGAATAAAAAATTCCAGGATGCATTTAATTTACTGTTGAAATTGGACAGATGTTCTAAAATCATTAAAAGAAATGGAATGGACGTTCAAACAGATTCAACTTGAAAAATTAATGCATTGAATTATAAGTTTATTCCATTAAGACGTAGTAGAGTTTTCAAAATTATTCCCTACATTTGTATTTATCATTGAAATTCAATCTCTAGAATTGTACGCGCATGCATTAAGGATTAGAAAATTTATTATCTTTCAGTTAAATTGTGTATTAAAAGCTTCTATTTCTGTAAAGAATGAATTTGTCAAATGTATATTAAAAAGCAGTCAATATAGTGGTATATTGAATACTCATAACATTGAAATAATAGCCTTCGTTAATTCATTCTTATATTACAATTTACGTAAAACTTACATATAGACTATGTAAGCCTGTATACCAGAATAATCAATAGACTCTGGTAAGTAATAAAGAAAGATTCCAAATTTGTTTATAAATGTTGAAGCTATTTAAGCGGCCTTTTATTATCGATGACGATTAGAGAAAAATATTCATTTTGAAAGAGTAAATAAAAGTAAATGACAAATTTCTAGTTTGTCTAATCCTTTTATCTGCTGTTTTGTAATATTTTATGACAGTCTTTTTTTTATTGTATATTCAATTATTTTTTATGAAAAACATCAGAGGTGAGATCAGGTACCATGAAGAAAGCATCCCCTGCCGACCGGTCACATCCACGGTGTGCCCATTGTGATGATGGGGAAAAAAGGAATATTTCTAGACAATTCAGTGCGGAAGTAATGGCCTAACAATTACATGTGCAATATGAAAAACATCCATTAGCTTTTGGCTTATTGATAGATTGTGTTTGCTGACAAAACAATTATTGCATCGACGATACAACTTGCGAAATGATGGCTTAAAATGAAACTATTTATCTAGAATCATGTCCTATTTGTCAATAACTTGCTTAATTAGTTTTGGAAATTAATCGTACGAAGCGCAGTCTCTTTTGTGACGAATCAACTGAGAGACATAAACCATATGTGATTGTTATTAGGGTATATTGCTACATACATAAGGAAAGTTGACGATTGAAAAGTTGAAGTCATCACGTTTATCATAATTTTTTCAAAAATTACTTTTATTTTAAGCTCACTTAACATTTTTTAATAAGTCTTCTAAAGATATAATTATTCTATATTTTGTCCCATTATTTATTTGGATGAATGATATTTGAGGGAAAACTTCGAAGATGAGATTTATTATTTAGACACAATTTCGGTGCAAAGGGTCATATTTTTAAAAAGATGCATATTGACTAACATTTTTATTAAGCTCAATCGCCCTTAGTGTCGAGCATAGGACAAAATTTGCAGCTCTCTGGTGGCAAGTGGTGATGTCTTCATATGAGTGTAACATTCTCGAGAGGGACGTTAAACAACATATAAACAAACAGAAAGAAAAAACGATTGCGGTCAACCACTTTGATATGCGAATTCATTCAAAAATTACTTTGGCAATTTTTCTTCTATTTTTTTACAAAAAAAAATATGCAAAACATTTCAATGGCCAAATAAAATATATAATCATTGTGCTCATACTTTCTCGACTCTCTTCTTGATTACTGCATCAAGAATGTAAAAACTATAGAGTGCATCATTAGTTGTAACGGTAAAGAGAAAATATATCATGTTGACGTTGTACACTGAATTAAGGAAAGACAAGAACAATTAGTAGAAGATTGAATAAAAAATATTATAAACTTGCAGATCAAGTTACCTTTCATGTACGAGGGTTAATCCAAAAGTTCGTGGAATTTCTTTCTAAAATTTTATCGTGATTTGATGACAGCAAACAGCAGGTATATTAATAATATAGAGTCATAATGCAACAATATTGGAAAATTTCTCCACTTTCCAATTAACAATAAGGTCACACGAGCTTTCTGAAAATGAATAGTTGTGAAACCCGGGGGAGACTTCGACGTAACGTCAATTAGATATGTCACGTCATGTTACAGAAGCATCTCGCCCTAATGTGCAATTTGAATACGTAATTCTACAAATGCTGCCCTTTTCTCCATGTGAAATAATATAACAACTGTAAAAATAATAACAACTATAAAAATTTAGCCATACATTGTGATATTTGCAAAAAGTTCGAAATTTTTTTCTATTAAAAATTTTGAGTTCATCTAAAAGAATATATTTGATTAAAATGTCTTGGATTGATTTCAATTTTATTTCCTCCCCTTAATAACACAGGTGTGATGAATAAATAAGTGATAATTTAAGGCATCTCCAATTATTACAAAATCCCATTTCTTTACTTCGTAATCCCTACGGCTTAGAGAGCGTCTCAATAGTATTTCGTGCAATCACTAAGAAATATGTTTTCAGAGTAATTCAAGTGTCCTTGGGGATCTCATTAAGCTTTCTCTTTCTCTTTTTCTTGGCGGAATAAGTTCAGATTGTTCAGTTTATTGTTCAGACCTTTTGGATTTTGCTGTTATTGTCAATAAAATGTTTTCAGGAAGATTTTATTTTCATTTGTTCTTTCTTAGAAAGTAAATTACATTATGTTTTTTTCATTACATAAGGAAATTTAAATCACTGATAAAATATTATCTTTATTTCTATAGACTTGAAAATAGATAATGCATGTTTGCAAGCTTTATCCCGTGACCTTAAAATTAATTTTAAAAAAAACAAATTAAGACATAAATAAAAACTGAGATATGCATGAAGAAAGATATTTTAAAGAATAAGTAACTCTATAAATTAAGATTTTATTTTCAGAAACTAACTCCGATCTTTTAAAATAAATATTCGTTTCAAAAAGAGAATTGTAATATTGCGGCACTGGTATATTCAATTACGACTCATTGAAGAAAAAGTAGCTTAATATGATTGAACTTAAATATTTCCTTCTGAAAATTGATTTTCTAATTAAAAATTATATATAATATCAAGTGATTGAAACTGACAGCATGATGAAATACTTTCAGGTAAGAAGTTTTAATTTAATAATCAATGTTCACAATAGGATATCTTGTATAATAAAATAAAATGTAGAAATTATTGGACGAAATTGCAATTGTCTTTGAGAAGAAAACTTCGAAGACGTTACCTAAGTAATCAAACTCTGATACCATTCTAAGCATGTAATTTTGAACTCAATTCAACATTATGCTATTTCAAAATGTTACAAGCAAGCCAGCTCAAAAAATATGCTTATCTCAATCCCAGTCATATTTTCTTACAATCATTCTTAATTTTAAATAAGAATTTGATAAGAAATAGTTACATTCTTTGTTACAGTTAATTAATGAAATGGAAACCTTTTCAATGAAATATATTCGCAATGCTTTCTAGAAGAAAATGGTTTGGATGTAACGATTTACACTTTTTATATTGAAAAATGATGTCATAAAATTTGACCGAAAAGTAAGAATTCAAAAGTATTATTTTTTAATCCTATTTCTTGCTTACAATGCAACACGATCCCATCCAATCAAAAACTTATGTTAAACTTGTAGTATCTCAAGGTTTAATACATATCCCAAAAATAGTCTTTGGAAAAAATCATTGTTTAAAAAGAACTTATCATTTTTGTAGTTATTACAATAAAATTTTATTACTGAAATAATCTTATTGGATATAAAGGATTCTGTTTAATGCCATTGTCACTGAAAATATTATATATTTTTACTCTTAGGATTTCTAGGGACTTATATATGGGTGTGTGTTTGAGGCTTCTCTAGCTGCATAATCACTGATAATGACTATCGGAATAGAAACGTCATTCTAAAGCAGTTAAGGATGTGAAAAGTGAGATTCATCGTAAGTTTTTATTTCTCTGATGTTTCGTGACAGCATTAGTAAATGATACTTATCGAATGTCCTTCTTTTGTGATGACAGGCTTGATTATTATACATCACAGAGTCAAAATCAATTAATGTTTAGTCTTACGATTGTACGACCTTAATATGACTAGGTATCTAAAGAGGTTACATGAGATGATGAGATTTTCCCATCAGAATAAAAGAATTAAATTTTCATAAAATCGAATTACTCTATTAAGCAGATTAAGGTACAAAAGATCAATAATTTGTTTACCATGAATACTGTCAGAGATATATAGAAGAAAAAACTAATTTCTTTCTTTCAGATAAAGATCAACCTCTTCTACATTCATCAAATAAAGACAATGAACTACACATACATCTCTCTTGCAGAAACTGGAATACTTGGTCGATTCCAGTTTGTAACAGAATCCCCTTTCCTTGGAATATTTCTCCTCGTAGTTTTAATCCTGGCTACTTTCCTTGGTACTTGTGGGAAAGGGGCTAATTATAGTATCACTTTGCACCACCATCAAGATGAAATCGTTGGACTACATTTTCATCGGAAACCTAGCTATTTCTGATTTATATGTTACGCTAATTGCAAACCCTATGAATATTGTTGGTAAGTAAAAAGGCAAGGTAAGACGTAAACAGAATGAAAATTATTTGATGAATTTGATATATTTATTTATAACGCATACATGTCGAAGAAAGCTTTGAAATTGTGTTTAGTAAATATCTTATAAGCGAAAATGGGATTGTTTTAAGATGAGTTATTCTTTCAAATGGTAGTTTTCATTTTAAAAAGCATTTGAAAATAAGGTAAGAACGTACGAGGGGTTATCAAAAAGTTCGTGGACTTAGGCTATAAAATTTGTACTAGGTAGTCTGTGCTTTCAAAATTTATAAGGAAGATAAAACAACTAAAAATAAGGATATGTTGAATATTTTAGCTTGATGGGTTAATTATTTGCCAAATCATTATAAAATAAAAACATTTTATGATCACCAATTTCATAACGTCCGACAACGTCATTGTTTTTCAATGTCCGCTTCTACCTCATACACTTATCTTGATGAAAATGCAAATGTCTATCGACCCGGAGCAGCATCGCTACGTCATTTAACGTCACGTCAGCCGAAGAGGGTTTCGCAAGTAAAATGATCGGGAAGCGTTTAATACTTTTCCTTCTTTGTAATTACATATAACAGTAAAAAAAAAAGCAGTCTCTTTTCTTAAACTATTCCTTAAACATGTATGCTATTGCTACCCGTATTTCATGATCCTGATCATTTGTGGGAAAACATGACTTAAAATCATGCAGTGCCGATTTGTGCAACGCGGGTCAACGATATTAATAGAGTAATGATATTAATACCGTACATAATAACTGATGGTCGTCCGGAGCTTTTGATTTTACTCTGGTTGAATTAATTGTAAAAAAAAATGTATACCAATAAAATAACAAACCCTAACACATTATTTTTTCTCGTTGTTATTGTTTTAGCAGGTCGTTGCGTCTGGAAAAGAGTTCTACATTGCGCTACACAAAATTTTAGGTATGTTCGCTTCTCCGCCCTTGACGTCAAAATCCATTTTTTTTTCGTTCTTAGCAGATTTCTCTACCGCGCTTAATGTTTTTATGATCTCCGTATTCCTGATCAAAATTCTCACAAAGTTGCACAACATGAATTTGAATTAAAGCTGAAAATTGTACACATAAACAGAATTATTTTCGCTCTTATTATAGGTTCAAGAAGAATTAGAATGTTGTTGTTACATATTTTCAATATCTGATTTCGAGACTGCTCCGGGTGCCCCTACTGATGACGCATTTATATATACCATTGTACAGAAAATATTTAATATTTGTAAAATATGTTTTGCTTTTATTAATTCTTAGTGTATGTCAAACGTATATGCAAATTTTCACCGAAAGACTTTCATTAGAAAGGAAAATATACACAATGTCTCAATAATTTTCGAACAGCCCTCATATTCAACGTCATTTTTTGACGTGATTAATTTTTCACACCTTGACTACAAACCGACATAAACTGTGCATCCCTTTTCTCTCTGAATTTAATTTGGCATTCAAAAAACAAGTACTCTGGATGCATATTATTTCTCCGTAATCAGTTTAAACATTTCCTAGGTGTACATGTATATAATTTTTTCAGGGGCAGAACTTTATAGAATGTTGAACCCCCCCCCCTTTTGACGTCATTTTGTCAAGGCTTTATTTGTGTTGTCTCTCCATATCAAATTTTTCTATAATTTTTCATAGAACTTCAAAAATTGGGTTTTAAAATATTCCATATTTTATGGAACAATAGTATCGTAACACATGCCTTGATAAACGGGATTTTTAAAAGCCAAGTTTTTTTTTCAGTTACACCTAGGTCGAGAGAACATCGTGTTCGAGGTTGCGCCTACTGGATATACCATTGCTTACAAAAACATCACTAATCTATCAAAATGATTAAATTTATGATTTATTGTTTATAATACAGATAAAAAGATGATGATAACTAGATCTGTTAAAATTCATGGATATACTTTTGGCGGTTTTAATTTTATGGCCCTTTTCCACGAACCATTTGACCCCCTCGTACATGAGACGTTTTCATTCATGTTCTAGTAAATAAAATCTGTAGAACACCAACCCTTCTCCCGATTACACGATGATTGATAAAAAATTTGCTTCCATAACAAAACCGGTTTCAAGAACTGTCGAGGGGAAATTTGACTTTTTTATTACAATAAACTAATACCGAAAATGAATCATGACTTTGATTTATTATACTGATCTTAGTTTATTTCTTACTTCAAAAGCAATTTCTTTGCCTTTGGGAAATGAGGATTAATGACAATGCGTCTCGTGTTGAATGTAATTTTAAATCCCATAATCATTTTAGTTCAAATCACAATGCTCTTCCTAATTGTAGAAGTATATTTTTTTTTACTGTTTATTAGGTAAATTAGAAGGCGAGAAGTTCTTCCTTGCCAATCCAGGACTGTGTCAAGTGATCGCCTATCTCTGCACCATTTCGTGCATCAGTTCCCTAGGTTCAATAACTTTCATGAGCTTTAGTCGCTTTATTTTCATCTGCCATAACAAATACTACGATTCTATATTCAGAAAAAGCACTTCTATCGCCATGTGTGTCGGTCTTTACCTAACCGGTCTTCTGATGGTTCTTCTGAATTTGGCGGGAATTGGTGATCACTCTTATGATCGAAAGAGCCTTGAATGCATTTGGGACAGGATGGCTACCTACTA